CTAAATATTCAATTCAAGAAACAATAATAGAGAGAGTTTTATCAGCCGTCGAGTGTGCCACTTCGATACGTTTCATGTACCTACCTATACTCAAACTGGAAACAATACTGTGTTAAGCCAAATCATGGATCAGCCTTCTGGTTCAAATACAGAGAATCAAGGAATTACTTATTCTTTGGTAACTAAATCCATCTCCAAGTTTACCTTCCCTAAAAAAGAATAAGCAATAGTCCTGCACGCGGAAAAGGATCTCAAACTATTTGATTATGTTAAAGCAATAGGTGACATCGTTACAGCCAAAAACATTTCCTTTGCATCACGTTTTTCTAATAACAGGATTTGCATTTATCTTGCTAAACTTGAGATGGTTGATTTAATCATCCTCTCCCACCTCACTCTCATGATAGCTGATAGGGTTTTATCGGTTCGAAGACTGGTTTCGCCTTCTAAACAAGTGATTATTTCAGTCCAGTTATTCTGCATGAGCATATTGAAAATTCTCTTAGAAGCATAGGCTTAAATCTTGCCTCTTAAGTAAATTTCACTAAGGCTGGTATACCCGGAGATGAATTTAGTCATATTCTACGCTTTAGCAGACAAGCCTATATCTTTCCTACTTCAGATAATTTCGAACTACATACATCCACAATCGTTACGTATGAAGACATGGAGTATAGAATTTTTCTGTCCACTGACAAAATGGAATGTTTTATTTGTACACAAACAGGCCACATTGCTAATAAATGCTCAACAATACAAATTGCATCTAGTCAAAGTATTGATGCAAAAAAAGGCAGCAGATCATCAGCCCCAAAGCCAAAAAATGTCGTAAAAAAGAAATATATATGATATCTTGACGCCTAGTGATCGTGGTTCCGTTATTTTGACTGTTGCTGAAGAGAACTGTACCCTTGATAATATAATGCCGCCACCTTCTGGGAAATTCACGCATAATCAGAAAAAGCGTGAAACAACTAGTGATTCCAAGCCTATAATATCTGATAAGTGTAAAAAGGACATACATGAAGCGTATAGCTTATCTACCAATGATTTCGCCCTTTTTGCTGAAAACTTTATTGCTTTCCTAGAAAACACGTATGATAACAATGAAGACAATCAAGAAGCTCTCAAATTCAATTCTGAAGTCAAGCTGTTACTCACAATATGCACGAAATTTACCCTACTATACAAGAAAGATCCATCAAAAATAGATTCACCAGGCTCAGTTAGAAAATTGAATCAAGACTCATAAGTGATGAAGAAGAAGTTGGTAGCATTTGACTTACTCAGACGCTCTCAATCTACCCTTTTTAGCCATGGAATTGACCGAAGCTTTAAACACATGTAAAAATACCGCTGCAAGACCCGACGATATACCTTTAATTTTTCTGAGAAATCTTTCTTCATCTAGTCTAGAAAAGCTTTTGGAACTATATAATAAAATTTGGGCAGGTCATGGCCTTTCCATCACAATGGTGTCATTCAACCATTTTGCCATTTCGTAAAGGGGACTCTTCTACGCAGGAACCAAACTCCTTCTGCCCTATATTTTTGACATTCACTATGTGTAGACTTTGAAAAAATGATCAATAAACGTCTCTTGTGGTATTTACAAAAACATCGGATATTTATTGCAATTCAATCAGGTTTTTGTCCGCGTCGTGGTGCAGTTGACAACTTAGTTATTCTCCATTCAGAAGTTGCCAATGCTTTTGCGCGGAAACAAGAACCAGTTGCAGTGTTTTTGGATATTGAAAGAGATTTTGATATTACCTGGAGGCTCTTAATCATTAATAAATTACAAGAAATCAATTTATCTGGGAATATCCTGGCTTTCATATCCAATTTCCTATCACGAAGAACTGCTACTGTCCTTTTGAACGGTGTATTGTCTAAGCAAGTCATTTTGGAAAATGGAGTTCCTCGAGGATCTGTGCTTAGCCCTACTTTGTTTAATTTGGCTATAAACAGCATCTGCTCAAATATGAGTCTTCCAGGTAAATCAATACTTTTTGCTGATGATCTGCCTGTACTGCTCTGGACGCAAATTGAATACCACATGTTAATATACTTTAAGATGCATTAGACGAAATTGCAACCTGGGCCAATTCAACAGGATTCGGATTTTCGGCTACCAAAACTAAATTGATGAAATTTAGTCTCAGGAGGAATCAGTGTGCTGCTAGACTTCCTCTGAACGTCGTATCAATACAAGCAGTCAATAGTTATAAGTATTTGGGTATAATCTGGAAGCATCACATTCAGGAAATCAAGTCAGTATGCATGAAACGCCTAAACATATTGAAATCTTTAGCTCATCATCAATGGGGCGCTGATGAATCAACTATTTTAAGAATATATAGTGCCCTCATACGATCTAGGCTAGAATATGGAAGTATTGTTTTACTCTACAGCCAGCTCCATGGAATTGAAAAAGCTAAATACTATTCACAACACCGTAATACGTATCTGCCTAGGAGCGTTTAGAACCAGTCCAGTTGACTCTTTATATTGTGAATCTCAAGAATTTCCTCTCCAACTTCGTCGAGAAATACTTGTCCTTCACAACTACCGTATATGCAAATCCTGTTAATAATCTGCTGAATAGAATTCCAATGTATACTCAACATACTCCTAGGAAACCTTACTCATTCCCACAAATGTTACAAAACACCCTTCCTGATTACAATTTTTCTGAATTGTACCGCTACTCAACACCAAACGCAACACCATGGACCTTGGTGCGGCCAAGAATCAATACGCTGCTAACTAAATACAGAAAACATAACACTTCTAGTTCATTACTTAGAAAACTGTTTCTTGAGAGTGTCCGTCCCTCAATTTATGATGAGGTTTTGTATGCCGATGCGTCCAAGAACAATACCAGTGTAAGTTGTGCAGTTACAACATCTAATATTATTTTGGCCCAATATACGCTTATTAGTTATTGTAGGGTATGCTCCGCTGAACTTTATGGAATTCTATCTGTCCTTCGATTGATCTCAGGTACAGGTCAAAACATCGCCACCTGTACTGATTCTCTAGCGTCCATTCATTCTATATGTAACACATATTCGACAAATCCTTTGGTGCAACAAATACTCAATATTTACCAATCATTATACAACTTGGGATTGCGAATTACCATCATTTTGGTGCCGTCACATGAGATCACTGGAAATTAGCTTGCATATTACTCAGCTAAAACTGCTTAAGATGCTAACATCCCTGCTGCCATAAAGTTGAGCTTACCAATGGACTTAAAGCACTATCTGAAGCAAATAAAAATAAATAAATGGCAAATTGCCTGGACTCACTCGAATACAAAATTATACAACATTCAACCGCTTAACCCAAAGATTGTAGCCTAATTTGACGAGAAAACCAGTTGTAATTTTTCGGCGTTTACGTATAGGTCACACTCGAGCTACACATGGGTATCCTCTAGAATCCAAAATTCAACCGCTATGCTACTACTGCAATGTTCGACTCACGGTACAACACGTGCTGATAGACTGTTCACAATATACGAATTTAAGAAGAAAACATGCACAAAAAGAAGAACTTATGATGGTTTTAGATAATAATAATGATATAGTAAACTTATTGAATTTTCTTAAGGATATTGACCTGTATAACAATCTATAGTTGGCAAAGTTAACACTTGTTAAACAAAATGTTTCTTTTCAAGTTCCGAAAAATGTAACTTTTTCTGTTTAGTGCCAAAGACCTTTGCTGTTGAGGCACTTTAATCAAATAAATAAATAAAATAAAAATAATAGAGACCTTGTAATGAGGCATTACTCGTTCCTCTTCTAGTATATTATGAGAACTTCTACTGCGAGTCCTTTCCATCAAACATCTGACAAGCTTATGTAGGAGCAACAAGATATTTTTCATAGTTTCTACAAGCTAGGATGCTGTGATATAGCGACTTTATGCGTAAAACTCGTAATTTCGATGAGAAGATGTTAAAATAAAGTCTCACTTGCCAAGTGACAATGAATATTTCATTTTGATTTTCTTCCTTGAGTTCCTAAAACTTTCAAGCATTTTGCCTCCCTTCATAAATAAAATTTATCTTGAAAATTCTGATATGCAAATAGAAAAACATGTTATAGACGAAGTGTGTTGGTTTCGAATTTAATTTGCGCTGACGATAACGTATAAAGCTGACAACCAACGAAAATTGCCGTCATATAAATCCTACAAATAAATAACCACGTAGATAATTGCGTTTTGGGAAAAATTGTACCCTAGCATGGCTGCATAAATTCCTCTTGCAGTACCTACGGCTGACATTTTTATTGGACTAGTCCAAATTTATACTTTATTCATGTTTAAATTTGTATTAATTTTTGCCAAATCATGACTTTGCTTTTTCCAATGCAAATTGTCAAAAGCAAAAAAATTCGCTTTACTAGAAAAACAAAATTTTAAAGTAAATCCATCTAAAAATGCCGTTTCAATCGAATTTTAAATTGAATTCCCGATTAAGAGGCTTTTACCTTTTAATTTCGGTTGTAATTTTGTTCGGTTTTTAACCCCCTTTGATCTGTGGATACTGGACTTGAAGTTTGAATCTAGTTAGTTTAAAATAACAAAAACTATTTCAGAGTTTGAAATATCTTATTTTGTTACACTAGGTTGAAAAACAGAAATAGTTTTGGATTTAACTATTTATAATTATCTATAATACTAAAAATACATGCAAGTTAACTTCAATTTTTACCAAGAGGAAACTCAATAGTTCAACTTATTTATTAAAAAATATATCTGTCCATGTTTATTTGGTTTGAAATCTAAATTGAACAAATAATGCACAGTTTAAAAGCAATTTCCATTATTTTTATGTAGTTTATTTACAAAGTTTTTTTCGCGAAAAAACAAATGTTAATTGGGAAAAATCAACGGGGGCAGCTTTTGTTACATGATTTTTAAATGAAAATTGTGCAACTCAACAAAGTATGACACAAATTTTTTTTTCTTCTATTTTTCAGGTTTCTAACATTTTGCTATCTGGCAGCGTTTAACTTGTGGTTGATTTTGTGCCCAGCAACATTATCACATGATTGGCAAATGGGTTCAGTACCACTAGTAACGTCTATCGGTGATTTTAGGAATTTTGTTACTTGTCTGTTCTTTGGGCTGATATTTTTGTTGATATTAAAAAGTATTGCGGACTTTGAGGTAAGAATATAAATATGTAAGTATTTCTAAATCTGTTTCAACAAGGAAAATTAAATTCTTCACCATGATTCCAAATAGTTTCTAGACCTTATTTTAGTAGATCCAGAAAAATATTTGCAATGCAAAATTGAATTACGTGAGTTTCTTACTACGAATAAACCAACTCAGTGCCTAGTTATTATCCTAACAAGTGCAGAAAGATACTTTATGCATGAGTTGGGATCAAATTTTTTTCTATGACCTTAGCAAAGTGGGACACAAAGAAAATATGCATTTTCCTATAAAACATATTGTACATATTCAAATAATCCACATTTATTAATTATTACCGACATTGAATGTGATAGTGCAATTGGATGAATTTTGTAAATTAATCGCCGATAACAATAACTGATTTTTTAACAACCTGGTAATATTACTACTACTGGGATGAGTGTTCGACGCCATTGCCAACACAAAATCGCACGGTCGTAGAAAAATACTATTTTCTCCTTCATTAGATATTCATTAGTTGGCTGGTTAAAAAGAAAACTTATTTAGGGAAAGTTTAAAAATCTATAAAAGAAGAGAGCTTTTGGAGAAGTTCCCTTACTTGAAAAGAGTCTATCGAAAGTTAAACTCGGATATAAATTTATGAAGCAACTCATCTTGACTCGAATAACCTTAAATAAAATAATTTTTCTAGAATCTACGTCATCCGCCATTGATAATGGGCATTTTACTTTTGGTGTTGCCGTTTTTGCCCGCATCAAACCTTTTTATAACTGTGGGATTTGTAATAGCAGAACGAGTTTTGTATATACCCAGGTAAAATGTGTCAATTAAGTAACTTATATAATCTAAAAATAATTTATAATATTTTAGCTTGGGTTGTATTCTTCTAGTAGTCTATGGGGTTCAAATTCTATGGAGCAATTGTTCAAAACACAGACAAAGTATATTGTGTTTTATTATTTTGATTTTTGTTGGTAGCTCTTTGAGGACAGTGATAAGGAATAAAGATTGGAAGTCGAGGGAATCGTTGCTGCGGTAAGTAAAAACTTCCATTAAAAATTGAAATAATAATAACCAAGGAAAAAAACTTTTCCTCACAATTATGCCTGTCTTGAATGCAGAAACCGATTTTAATGGAACACGAATAATAAATATTTCAACGGCGGTCTCTAGAGGTCGATTAAAAATTTAAATTTATTCTCTTACAGAACTTGCAAATCTGCAGAACTGTTGCATATTCTATTCATTCTATGCAATCATTCAGCAAGTTTTTCGAATTTGTTTTACATTTTTAGTTTAACATCTCTAACAAAATTATTTTTCCATGAAGTGTAGGTACTTACTTCATAAAAACCTAATAAAGTTTTCACGTTCCTGTCCCTTCAAAATAAATTATGTATGTATCCACTGTAAACTTGGCTGTAATACCTTTAAAACCATATTTACCTCCATTTTGATAGCCAACTTTATTAGGTACCTGAAGATCCATAAAGTTGAAAAATATCTTGTCCCCACTTTTTGACTTCAAGTATATTTGAAAAACATAAACAACAAAATAAAAAAGTTTTGTTGTTTCAGGTCCGGACTTCAAACGTTACCTCACAATGCTAAAATGCATTATAACTATGCCAATTTTCTTCGTGATTCTTCGTTGCCAGATTTAGCTAAATCACACTACTACATGGCATTAAAGTACCTACGTAAATTTATTGTTTTATATATTTTCAATGGATAAATTTTTAGGCTTTGGCCAACATACGCCAGTGCTCATAATAACTTAGGAACAATTTTGGAAAATAATTATGAAGCTGAAAAGCATTTTCTTGCAGCCATTAAGTATGCCTCCAATCACGTTAATGCCCATTTCAATCTTGGACAACTATACAGGTAAGAAATAACATATTTTTCTCTTTAAAATATAGGTATCTAATAAAATTGTTCATGATGTCATTAACATTAAACCCATAATCCTTATGCCATCTAGGAGTATCAGGAATTAACACCAAATTATTAATTAGTTGAGGGCCGATACTTTTGGTCTCGATTAACGAATTTGATATGTTGTCAAAGTTTTGCATGGGCCAAGGTCTATAAATATGATGTGGATAGAGCACATTCAAACCCCTGATTATTTTTAACGGCTGTCAAACGAGAGCAAAAGTACCGTCACTAAATTAATTAAAATTAGGTTATTAATTGATAACCAAACACCCACAAACTTCCAGAGTCCAGATGAGTCTCCAGAATACCGCTTCCCATAGGCATATTCTGTGTTTGTGTGGCAGTTCAATTTAATTTTCAAATGTTTATAAAAAAATAATAATAACTCTTTTTTTCGATCTTCACCTTTGGTAAGTTCAACTTTGACATATTTATCGAAATCGGGCTCATAAGCTTTGTTACAAATTAAATGAATTTGTTACTTTAAGACAAGATAACCTAGGGTCGTGGAATTCAAAAAATTAAGATAACGTGTAGTCCCTTTATGTGCAAATGAAACCACTCAAAATCCAACAAACAATAATTTTATTTGATATTTAACAATGTTATATGTAACATAGAGTAACAGTAAATGTTACTGTAAAATTTCAGTGTTGACAGCTTGGTTTTTCCGGTGAATCTGATACCATGTACCTTTTCAATCCGGAGCTCTTCAATAGGTATTGTGGTTTCACTTTCGTGAACTGGAGCTCTTCGTGTTGTTTCCTGTATCCAGGAAAGAGGATAGATTGCTGGGGTGACGTCACTCCAGCTGATCCATACTCCAAACAATGATCTTTATGTCGAGTAGGTACCCAGAAAAGAGTAAGGCAGTATCAGATTCACCAATATTTGGAATATTAAATCCCTGAATTCTGTCAAAAAGTGAGTGTCTTGCAAAGGAAATTGAAATTGAAATTTAATATAAAACGATTGTTGTACAGACACTCCTTTCCAACAGAATAAGGTATGAACAGCTATTGCAAGTTGAAAAAAAATATATATATTTCAATATAAAAAAATACAATTAAATAATTAAGAATAATGGAAAGATAATAATAAAATTAAAATAATAACAAGATTAAATTAAAATGCTCGTTATCATTGAGCAAAAATGCTGCTTTCCTGACAGCAGCTCTGGCAGGCAAAAATATGAACAAAAATAAGGTAAAACAAGAAATTAAATCTTTGGATTCTCCCCCAAAAAGATAAAATTTTCCTTTCAAATTAAGGTAGCTACTATAGATACTCAAAGATAAACATGGGGTTGAAATTAATCAAATCCAGAATATGTCAAAATTCTTGAGATGTTGTAATTAAAAATTTTACTGAATTTTTGACTTGTCTGGATTTCTATCAAAAAATTACACCCTTTATTCGAAATAATAATTGAGGGAGTCAAACCGAAAATGGCTATTCAGGCCTCTGCCTGGATTCAATAAAGAGTTGATAGGGATGGAAACACAAATTTGGTTTTCACCGACTCTAGAGCAAATGGTCCAATATTCCCACACTACCAATTGATTCTGAAAACCAGAGCAGCAAAACCGTTTTTAAAATCCAAAAATCTGAATTGACTTACCTCAGATAAACGTGGCACTACCAATCGACTCTCACACAAAATGGAAGCCAATAATTAGATAAAAAAATTAAAATATAATATTTATATTTCAAGAATAGATTAGATAAGATTTATCAGGTAAAAACTCAATAATGATATGATAATATGCATTGATAGTAGAATATATTGAAAAATCTATAAGGGAAAATCTAAAAATTAAGAGCAAAAATTAATCAAAATAAAGAGGACTTGCCTGCCAGACTTCTGTTTAGGAAAGAGATCGTTTTAGAAACCAAAGCCCACAGTAAAACGAGTCTGTGTTTTTTGTACTTAACTGCATTTTAACCAGTTCAACCAATCAGACGAGTACACCCAAAAGATCATATTCACTTCACAATGACAACTCAATAAAAATCCACGTGGAATAAAAGAGAATAGATAAAAATCCACTAGAATTATTTTAATTGTTTACAAATTATCATAATTGAAATTAAGGTCATTAGGCCAAAAAGTGATTATTTCAGAATCAGAGGTTAAAGAAAGACAGAAATATATCCATTTGTTAAAAGTGAGATAAATATAATTTCTTTGAATGAAAATACAAATGACTGTCAAATGCGAAATAATTAAAATCATACTTTGAAAAATAAATCCATCAGGTACTAGATGGCAGTACTGGTAAATGAATGAAAGATATTTGCATTTTACGCAGATGATAAATAGATGGCAGCACTTGTATTATTTTGAACTTTGTGAATATTTTAGATTATTTTCCTGACTCTGAAATGGAAAAAATACGACTTTATAATGAAAATAAGAAGAGATGGAACATGTTACATAAATGATAAATTTATCGTAACAGCTTCCTCTCTTCCAGTTTTGTAACTTTATGTTTTGTGTTGGATGCGGCATGAGCAACCAAGCTTTTGTTGAATACAGCATGATCACTTATGTATGTATATTAATGCTTAGGCATATCATATGTGACTATATTCCCCTCAACCATTCAGTAAGTTTTTTTATGTATACATCCCACGTCTCCCGAACTCCCATATTTTGTACCTTGTAGAATTTATGCCGATGATGGCTCTATGATAGATGCGAAACTTGTTGAACCCCCCTTTCAACTGATTATATTTTTTATAAAATAGAGATCGAAGATAGACTGTGTGTTTCAATCCAGTTCTTTAACTATTCTTTTCACTGTGAGACATGAACTACTATTCCGAAAGAACGATAAAGATAATTGGCTATTAAACACAGGGGTTCGAAATATCTGTTACACAAAAATAATTTTTAAAAAAAGTTTAAAGATAGAAATTGAAATTTGATTCTATGCACTTAAAACAGCCAAAAGATAATGAATGATAATATATGGGTATAAGTGAAAAAAATTAAAAAAAAATTAAAGAAAAGAGAGAAAAAAAAAAGTCTTTTACCACAATGCCAGAAAGCCTCTTATTCGAATGGCGGCCCCACGTTGGGCGCCAATTAATTTGCCACGCTTTTCGGTGAATAACAAAAAGAAGTTGAATTTAAGAAAAGAATATCACTCGAACTGTCATTAATTGATAAATAAAGTGATCTTTCAATGAAGGGTCAATCAACAAATACAGTAATGACTATACTATTGAATAAACGCTGTAGTCACAAACAATTTAATTAAGTGTGAAAATCGAAAATGTTATTGTAGTGAATAGGTGAAATGTGAAAATTTAAAAGTGTAAAATCGAGAAATATGGAAGAAAAAAAGATATAATAATTAGTTATTGGAACAGTTACCAGTTACCAACCTTACATCAATATGACCAAAACCAGAAGTAAAGAATCATGAAACAGGTTACGCCTAGCTAAATAACAGCCAGTTTCATGATTAGACTTTAAAAGTTAAATGCTACTTTAAAAAATGTTGGTATTTCATAATACTTTAATGTCACTTTAAAGCCACTTTACGTTAAAGGGACGATTTCCAGACTTTTATCCAACTTAAAGTAAAGTGCTATGTAACCTCAAATTCACACTTAGTCGCTAATTTGCTACTTTCTCAACATTTTGTTTTGTCTGTTTTCAATTTCAATAAACTGTCGACGTTATGAACCGGTACCAAGGAATAACATCTTGATCAAGTTCAAGTTCATTTGATGGGGAAAATCCGGAAATATTTTTAAGGAGAAGAAAACTTTATAGAAAAAAAGAAAACAGATTGATGATGGATGGCTATGATGATGTTGATTTTTTCAACAGATTTCGTTTAACAAACCCCACCCCTTCATTTCTCTTCCAACTTATCGGACATATGATTATAACGCCAACCAATAAGTAAGAATTATCATATTTTTATTACGCAACAGGTAGTTTCTTAATTGCAATGGGAGATTTTATGGGGGTGTCAGAAGCAATTGCAACTCTAAGGTCACGGTTCATTAAAATGTGTGGAGATAACCAGGAAATGGTATGAAGTGCTACTGAGTTCTATCAATTAGATGTTTCCCTAGAATGATTGGAGTGATAGACTGCACGTTAATAGGGATAGAATCATCAGGTGATGATGCATGATGCTGAAATATTTAGAAGCTTTTTAGGGTTTTTTTACATTGAAGGTTCAGACAATTTCAGATGCTAATCTGAAAACGTATGACGTATGACCAGACAATATTTAATAATTCACAAATGAAAAGGGAACTTCATCCAACACAAGAAGCTTGTCCTCTGTGGAGAAATTATCACCTCTTTTTGATTTATTAGTAGTCATAGCTAAAACAGGGATGAAAATGAAATAATCAACACTCAATAACCTTTTAAGGATCCGTGTTATAAAAGCTTTGTTTTGGTTTCACTCAGAACTATTCCGGAATTATTCTGCACATGCGCATATTATAAAACGCGTTTTCGTTTTTCCAGAATCGTAATCGGACTGTGTTGACTTGGTTCATCCAGAACTATTTAGGAACAATTCTGGGATTGTTCTAGAACGGTTCTCTCAGTACTTGCTCTGCAGGAGGAACTGTTTTTGAATTTTGTGATTTTGCGGCGTGTTTTGGTTTTTTTTTGTTCCGAATCGGTTCAGAACTAGAATTAGAACAGTCCTCTATTATTTTTTGTGCTCAAGAAGTTCTGCGCAATCCCAGAACCGTTCCAAATTTCGAACCAAAACAAAGCTAAAATGTACCTACCTGAAAATGATGTACTTTCAGTTACCGTTTTTGACAGGGTTACAAACGGTTAGTCGCTGAAAAATCGTTTTTGATTACCACTGAAAAAAATGAGACCTAACCTTACAAATTGTGGAGCTTTGCTCTTTTGTCAATTTTCGGCAGTGGCTAAAGTATCAATTTTACTTTAGTTGAAAATTCGGATGGATATGAAGACGAAATTTAACCCTTCAGAAAGACCTTATTTCTTCAACCACCAAATGTGAAAAGAAATGAGCACCATATAAAACCAATAAGCTGTCCCAAAGGTAAGGATTTAGAGATGAATCAGAATAACGACTAACGTCAAATTTAACCGATAGAATTTTTACGTACCAAAAATTATTGCACACAAAAATATAATCAGAGAAAAATGACAACAGCTGACGACTAATGATAATAACAACAAGTAATTATCCAATAGAACAATCATACTTTGAAGAATACGACATAGAGTAAGCAATCCGTGTTGCAAAACGTAAGCGCTTACTAGGAATCGATGATCCCAAAAACATTAGGTACTAATCGAAAGCAAATTGAGAAAAATGAACGACACTTCACCAGTCAGCTGGGACACAAATCAAGAAAGACATTACTTAAGTGTCATTATAAAATAGAGAGCAAAGAGAGCAATCCGGTGGTTTATGGAACCAATGATGGGATCGGGAGCAGAACTAAAACTGGTTCAGCAAACGAACAGAGTACGAAAGTACGAACAGCATACGATACATACTTTGAAAACGGATCACTAACATCAAAGACTGTGTTCGTAAAAAACATCGAGACTACTAGACAGCTTCCGAGCAGAATCATGTTAGGGAGTTCATCGACCAACTATGCAGAAAAAGGCCCCCATAACTGCTACAAATAAGTAGGAGCCGACTCAGGACTATAACGGGTCTTACGACAGGCCACACCCCGGTAAAGATCCATCTGAACAGGAAGAACTTGTATGACGGAGACCTTAACTGCAGATACTGCAATAAGGAACCCAAGGCAGCCGACACATCCTGGTAAACTGCAAGGCACTAGATTACAGAAGACACAGCATTTCCGACAACCAAACCTAGTCACAGAAACAATAATGAAACACACCTTGTACAGGGCACCAAAATACTAGAGTGGTTGGAATAAAGCAAAGAGACTTAGTACAATAAGGCTTCATAGGCTTCAGTTTTACGGGGACAACAAGTTGGACATGCCTGAGAGAGAAAAAAAAGCAAATAAAACAACTTAAATCTTTAATTATTATCAAGAATTTTATTACTTATTTTTCCAATTCTGGAATTTCCAGTTCTACTAAAACCATGCATCGAACTAGTTAATACATTCTGCAAATTAATATTAAGCGAATAGGTACAATATTTAAAATTATTTTATTTTGGAAATCATCCATTTTAATATATTTTTGTTTGAAACATGAAAATATTCCATGGTTTATTGAAATATGAATAAGCTCCTGCAATTTTATTTCATATTTATTTTTTCTCATATTTCCGTTTTTATTTACACTAGACTAGATTTTTTATTAATTTATCATAAAGTTAATTGATGTTGAAACAGATATGCATTTGAACAAAAGCCTAGGACTAATAGGAAATGCAAATCACATACCATATTTGAAAAGATTACGAAATTACATTCCCGTTTAATTGTACTTCATATTTCTATCTGAAATAAAGTATCTCTACAACAAACTTCAACTTTCTTCATGCTTTTGTTCACTTTGAACCACCAAAACTTTAGACTCACAAACAATACGAACAGCTCAGTTGGAAATGTGAAAATCTTGTCTTTTCGCCTCTGATTATATAAATCCAATTGAAATAAAATTTGTGGGATTTCTAGTCCATCATTACCCAATACATTTACACACATATTACACTATAATATAAAAATATAGATTTATATGCCTTCTTGTTTTAGAAAGAACAACAAAACTAAAGAATCTGAACAAATGTTAGAAAAATGCATTAATTTAGAACCAAACTTCACTCCTGCCTATTTGGAGCTAGTAAAATTGAGGGGCTTCAATCACAAAACAATTTCGGGACTTTTAAGAAAAGTAGTAGAAATTAATCCAGGAGATCCTTATTATGCTTTTAAATATGGAGAATGGCTATCTAGGAAAGGTAATATTCAATAGTACGCATAAAATTGTATATTCGTGATTTTCTTCTATAAAGGTATCCATTCGGAAAGTTTAAAATTCTATTGGACGTCCCTTAGAACATGTGCCACTTATCGAGATGCTTCAATTGGGGTTTTCAGACACCTGAGAAATTTCGGACAGAAAGCCAGGATTTTTCAGTTATTGACTAGGTAAGAGTTTTCGAATTTGTCTTATTTTTTCATCTACATTTCAATTGATTTCTTCTAGATGGCACTATTTACTAAGAAAAAAGGGCAACCACTCGAAACAGAACCTCTATCTTCGAGAGTGGCAACTGAAAAACGAGCTAAGCTACAAAATTAAAGCCTATTCAATGAAGCCCAATGAAGTGAGTACAAAAAAATTATCCAATAACTTTATATATTTTTTTTTGTTGTATATTTGCAGAAAAATTATTCGTTAGATACATTTCAAAATAAATGGAGATTGCAGAAAAATAAAACAAGTAACCCAAACGAGAAAAATCGCAAAAAAGAAATGTCAAATAAATTAAGACATAACAGCGAAAAAACCTTTTCAAAAATTGATTTATTAACTTATTGTTAAGAAATACTCAATACTTACTATAGAAAACCGTTTAAATGGGTTTGAAGATTAAAGGTAAAAAAAAATAAAATATATTGAAATAATTTACAGGGTGTTAGCTTTTTGGCAATATTGAAAAATACGAAAAACCTATTTAATAATGGCAATAATGCCACCTGACTACAATAATATAATATAGAATTAATTGCTATCAGTATTATTAAATTAAAAATACTTATATGAAAAGTTCAATAAGTGCTTTTTAAGTAGTAGAATGTTTGTGAATGTTATTGTTAAGATTTTATGAATACTATTATATTATTTTCTAAAATTATTTGAAAAATCACTCACCATTTCATTTTAGATTATGGAATTGAAGTTTTGAATTGAATTGTTGAGTTTATGTTTTAGTAATCTTATTCAATAATAATTAGGCCTCAAAAAATAACTACTTTATCAATTAGACATTTTTTTAATGAAAAGAAAATAGGCAAAATTGTAAACGTATTTTTGATAAATATCAGATAAGTAATGCTATACTAATACAATTAAATAAGTATTTATCAAGCATTTCAAATTAAGGTTTCTGAAGTAAAAAAGACATGCATACAGTTTCAGTTTCCTGTATGATGACGACATACGAAATTTATAATCGCGGGGCCATGAAAAAATATACTTCAAAAACTACAATAAACGTATTTCTTTTTGGCCGATTTCAAAAATCAATATTGTAATCATTTTTATTGTAAATAAATAATATTTTAAAAATAACGGCGTTTCCTTTTTGAAAAAAACCTCGCTACTTCAAAGCAAGTGTCTATCTTTACTAAAAATCCCTTTCTGCTATACATTCTCAAGCAATCAATTTTTGCTCGAGCACCATTGAAAGAAAACAAAAGCCCATTGTTGCAGAAGCAAAGCTACTTGAAATATGCTATATTATTATCTTCCTCCTATCTCCCATTCAAATTGAACATTCTTTCTTTGTTAGAAGTAAATTTTACCACACATACAAAAATATATAGATTGTTCCATATTAAATTGGTTTATTTTAACCAAGTATCTAACTTTGTATTATTTTGAATGTGGTATAGGTATTTTTTTTACTATTAAAATCTGCTTCCACTCTACATTCTGTTGATGTTCAGGTATGTATTTATTTATACTTAGTTGTGAATAAAATGATGTGCAAGCCCCGGTGAGAAGTTTCATTCTGTTGTTTTGAGTTGTCGAGTTGGTTGACTAGAAGGACCACCATTGGAAAGGGGAAATATCAGTGTTCAGTTTCGTCTACGTGCTCTACAGGACAGTTATATACAATAACTGTAGGTTAAATTGGGTATTTAGGATGTCAAATACTATTTGGGAATGGAAATTGATTCGTTTTTCTTTTCTTCTTTATTTTTTGTTTGTGCGCCTTTCTAAATTGATACGGCTTTGTTAAATTTGCTTTTAAGAATGCCGCGTTAAACACTGGAAAAGGATATCTGCAAGTCCTTACATTGTCGACCAGTAAATCAGTCGCCAAAAACACTTCGACCAATTCGTGTGATTCGAGAAAACAGACTCGTTTCTTTTCGCTTGCCGTGACCGGTTTCAATCAAGACTGTTTCGTTGGTACTCCTTCGCATTGGACTTGAACTTCCTGAAAGAGTTGGCCAGCTGAATGGAGTTTGGAAGTAAAGCCAGGTAAGGTGAAAAAATATCCTTTTCAGTTTCGATATATTTCAATTTAAAATCTTTTATCGAATATCATTCTATCAGGAACCTGTGTGTTCCAGTATTAATTTCGCACACTCAGACTATATTGTAAATTAAAGATAGTTTATCCAAGACAAGAAATATAGTTTATTTAACAAAATTATTAGTATAGTAATAAATGATAAGAAAATACTCGACAGGGTATTTTTGTCGTGTTGACCAACTGCTTCGCGTAACGCAACTACCTGAGCCCAGCAAGAAAGGGTCAGCTGTCCCTTGTTCTTCAAAGCATTCTTGTCTGTGAAACGTGCTGGCGCATAAATTATACAGTATCTGGGAACCCGAGACGTATACCGATATTAGATATTTCATGTCCTAAATATTCTATGTTCTCTTGAAGAAAATAGCACTTATCTAACCTAAGTGTAAAACCGACTTCTCTAAAGATATTTAGTATCTGTTTCAGCTTCTTAAATCCATCTGGTAATGATATTGACGGTATTAATATGTCGTCAAAATATGCCATAGCTGTTCCGAATCGCAAAGAGACCAAGACTTGGTATATTGTTCTCTGAAAAACCGCAGGAGCATTTTCAAGTCCAAATGGCATTCGCAGGAGCTCTATCTGGTATTACAAACGCAGTCTTCGGAATTGATTTTTCATTCAATGGGATCTGATGGTATCCAGATAGATGTGACCTTTGAGAAAGTCCAGGAGGTCATCAATCCTTGGCAATCGGTATTTATCTTTTAGCATTTTACGATTAAGGGCTCTATAATCTATGCACATGCGTGGCTCACCATTCTTCTTTTTCACCAGTAAGACGAGAGTAGAGTGTTTTCACAGCTATCAGACCACATACACACCTCTACCACGTAAAACCCCCCTCCAGCACAGCCATCATACCACTACCCACCTCCACTGTAAACCCCCTTCCGTGAAGCTCCTGAGCACTTTTTTTGACTCAATATCCACCTCTTCTACGTAAATGGTTGACCAGATTTACAAATTTTGGGGTTGGCCCGGGTCAAATTCCCAAAATTTCAGATCAAAGGCGCCGATTTTCTCACGATATCGAAAAAAATCCCACGCTATCGAAAAAGTTCCCACGGTTAGCCCGGGTCAAATTCCAAAAATTTCAGATCGCTGATTTTCTCACGATATCGAAAAAGTTCCCACAGTTGGCCCGGGTCAAATTCCCAAAATTTCTGATCGCCGATTTTTCCACGATATCGAAAAAGTTCCCACGCTATCGTAAAAGTTCCCACGGTTGACCCGGGTCAAATTCCCAAAATTTCAGATCGCCGATTTTCCCACGATATCGAAAAAGTTCCCACGCCATCAAAAAAGTTCCCACGGTTGGCCCTGGTCAAATTCCAAAAATTTCAGATCGCTGTTTTTCCCACGATATCGAAAAAGTTTCCACAGTTGGCCCGGGCAAATTCCCAAAATTTCAAATCGCCGATTTTTCCACCGTGGGAAAATCGTTCCCACGATTTCGAAAAAGTTCCCACGCCATCGAAAAAGTTCCCACGATTGGCACGGGTCAAATTCCCAAAATTACAGATCAAAGGCGCCGATTTTCCCACGGTATCAAAAAAGTTCCCATGCTCAAGAGCCTTCAGCTATCAAACCAATACCCACCTCTACTACGTTAAAAAGCTTCCACTCTGAAGAGGTACCATATCCCTCCACTTTCTTAAAAATTAAAGAATACCTAAACAATTCCTGCATTTGTATTCGTGGAGTTGGGCCGGCTTAAATCCCCAAAATTTTAGTTTTCCGGCTCTCAATATTTTTGAGTGGAAGCAAGTGGTGAAAATCCTTGCTAATTTATTGATACATCTTCGAAAAATATGATTTGATTTTTCATTGAAACACAATAAAATAATAAATCAAGTTATCATTTTATTAAAAAAATTATACAAATTGGAATTTTGAAAATCTTTTTTCTTTCCTGTTGCCTAAATTTTTTTTGCTCATTTGCTCATTTTTGGCGGGGGACAACGGATTAAGGGTTGGATACAACATCTGCTTCTGGGTTATTACTATCTAACATAAAGTCCTTATCTCAAGAATCGTCGATAGTAGGGTTTTTTTGATTGAATATATTTATATGTTTATTATGTCTGATATGCTCGACTAATTTAGTTGATCTGATGCATGGGAAAAGTTACCAATGAGTTGCAAAAACAACCAAGTTCAAGCGATAAGCCAGTATTTTTTAAAATCCATTCAAGAATTGTGCTTTGTGATCTTCGAAAAATATGCTTTGATTTTTTATAAAAACTCAATGAAACAATAAATTAAGTTACTATTATTTTATTAAAAAATTATACTTATAAACTACAATTTTGCAAATCTCTTTCTTTCTTCTTGTCTAAACTTCTTTTTCACTTTTTTGCTTAATTTCGGCGGGGGGCAACTGATAATTTTGTTTGCTAATACATATGTTTGTGGATTATAGCTCAACATTGGAGGGTCTTCATCCCAAGAGTAGTCTATGGTAAGGTCTTTATTCTGTTTGAAAATATTTATATTTATAGTATTATGTCTGTTATGCTTCACTAATTCACTTACTTGATTTGATGACACCTTATCAAGCTGACTACCCCCGTCAGCAGAAGGGCTGCTCCGTTCAGCCTGACTTATGGTTCCTTGCAGTTTCTATAAATTATCAGTTAAATATTTGTAGACACACAATTTCATTATTTTACGCTGACACCCCTGCTTTCTCCTGTGGGTACCTTTTCCAATCAGGGTACCTTACCCAGGGATTGTCGCCAATTAATATTAACTGATCTTCTCTCTAGGATTTTAATGAAGTTGGTTGTTTTTGTAACTCATTGGTAACTTTTCCCATGCATCCAAAAGTTCAAACAATGCGATGTCACCAGATCAACTAAATTAGTCAAGCATATCAGACATGATAAACATATAAATTTATTCAAACAAAAAAACCCTACCATCGACGATTCTTGAGATGAGATAAGGACTTTATGGTAGATAGCAATAACCCAGAAGCGGATGTTGTATCCAACCCATAATCCGTTATTCCCCGTCAAAAATGAGCAAATGAGCAAAAAAATTTAGGCAACAGGAAAGAAAAAAGATTTTCAGAATTCCAATTTGTATAATTTTTTTTAATAAAATGATAACTTGATTTATTATTTTATTGTGTTTCAATGAAAAATCAAACCATATTATTCGAAGATGTATCAATAAATTAGCAAGGTTTTTCACCACTTGCGCCCACTCAAAAATACTGACAACCGCAAAACTGAAATTTTGGGGATTTGAGCCCGCCCAACTCCAAAATTCATGAATACAAATGCAGGAATTGTTTAGGTATTTTTTAGTTTGCAAGAAAGTGAAGGGATATGGTACCTTCAGAGTAGAAGCTTTTTAACGTAGTAGACGTGGGTATTGGTTTGATAGCTGAAGGCTCCTGAGCGTGGGAACTTTTTTGATACCGTGGGAAAATCGGCGCTTTTGATCTGTAATTTTGGGAATTTGACCCGGGCCAACCGTGGGAACTTTTTCGATAGCGTGGGAACTTTTTCGATATCGTGGGAAAATTGGCGATCTGAAATTTTGGGAATTTGACTCGGGCCAACCGTGGTAACTTTTTCGATAGCGTGGGAACTTTTTCGATATCGTGGGAAAATCGGCGCCTTTGATCTGAATTTTTTGGAATTTGACCCGGGCCAACCGTGGGAACTTTTTCGATAGCGTGGGAACTTTTTCGATATCGTGGGAAAATCGGCGATTTGAAATTTTGGAAATTTGACTCGGGCCAACCGTGGGAACTTTTCCGATAGCGTGGGAACTTTTTCAGTATCGTGGGAAAATCGGCGATCTGAAATTTTGGGAATTTGACCCGGGCCAACCGTGGGAACTTTTTCGATATCGTGGGAAAATCGGCGATCTGAAATCGATCGGGAATTTGATGCGGGCCAACCCTAAAATTTGTGAATCTGGTGAACCATTTACGTAGAAGAGGTGGCTATTGATGGCGGGGGGCACTTTGAGTCAAAAAAGTGCTCAGGAGCTTCAGGGAAGGGGGTTTACAGTGGGGTGATGGCTGTGCTGGAGGGGGGTTTTACGTGGTAGAGGTGGGTAGTGGTATGATGGCTGTGCTGGAGGGGGCTTTACGTGGTAGAAGTGGGTATGTGGTCTGATATTAATTGTGAAAACACTCTACTGACGCTGAAGATGAGACGAATAATATCATTTTTCATGAGGTATTGAACTATTCCTCTTACGATTTCCCTCTCAAAAAATGCCATGCGATAAGGGCGATATGTAATAGGAATATCATTAGTTAGCGATATCGCCATTTCTGTTGATTTTGGTTTTCCAATATCGTCTACATTTGTGGCAAAACAATCACGGTATTCATCAAGAAGGTCTAATAACTGTTTAAAATCGGTACTATTGAGATTGGGTTTGGTTTGGTTTTGAATATTTTGAGTGGTAAATTTTCTGAACTTCAAAACTTCAGTTGTTAATATAGGAACAAAGGTATCAATTTCTTCGTAACAAGTGTAGCTCCTAACTACTACCCTGCCCTCTTCTTAGCATAAGTCCTGATCTGAAGAATTGAATATTGAAATATAACAATTTTTATTTAAAGGATAACGCACACCTAACATGGGTTTTTTGGGCTCTATGGATTTTGCCTATTTTTTTCTATGTTGTAGAGGATTTAATTCTGAACAACCTTTAAATGGGACGAAATCTTGTAGGTATTACGGTCTTTGAGATATGAGCGTTGAAATATGAACTTTTTTGCGACTTTTTGTGTGGAGAGTATACGAGATACTGGTGCTACTGGTGTTTATCAGTCAAAATATTGACAGGTTCACATATTTTACGTCACTTAAAAATTAATTTCAACTTAGGTTAAGGCCGGGACCGCACTGGGGTCAATGTTGGCGCGAGTGCGGTCCCGGCCTTAGCCTATGTTGACATTTGTTAGTGACGTGAAATATGTCGACTTGTCAAAATTTTGACTGATAAACACCAGTTTTTCGTATACTCTCCACACAAAAAGTTGTAAAAAAGTTCATCTTTTAACGCTCATATCTCAAAAATCGTAATACCTACAAGATTTCGTCCCATTTAAAGGTTGTTCAGAATTAAATCCTCTACAACATATCAAAAAATGGGCAAAATCCATAGAGCCAAAAAATCCCATTTTAGGTGTGCGTTATCCTTTGTTACACAGCGCAAAATTATATGTTCTGTGTTAGGGATATTCCTATACTGTAAATCAATAGAAACATCACCGCGAGCTTCATCATTCAATACTAGAATATGCCCTATATGATGAGAGATTTTGGCGGTAAAATGTTTAAGTTTGGGAAAATAGTTTCATTATTATTAAACAACCGAACCTGATTATCATGAATGGCAACCGTAACATTTTTGTTGTTAATAAATGGTTGTCCTATGATTGTAGAGACTTTTTGTACATTATCAGGGACTACAAACTAGGTCCACCGTTAACTGTTCCGTCACTTCATTGCTTACGTGCACAGTACCACCACCAAAACACGTAACCAGGCTGAAGCTGGTTCACAAAGTAAACCCACCTTCTTTACATCTGACTGTTCAATAGTTACTGCTCCACAGCTAGAATCAACATAACCTCTAATAGGATGGCCTTTATTCATAGTCCCTTACTTATAGTATCGCATACCTTAATAATAAGTATCAATTTTAAACCAATAGTAAAAGGTTAATTATTATTGTTGTAAGTAATATTTCAATCAAATATTTTCCTTCGAAATCTCTTAGCAGTCTTGCGGTATTCAAATTTAAATGACTTCGTACGTTGGTCACTTAAAAGTGAACCTGTAAATAAATAAAAAGTTAACCTCACCTTATAACATTAGATAACTAAGTACATAATTTGAATAGGCTCGTTCAGCATATTTTTTTTATTAAATATTCTAAAAGAGCGTATTGAGTTTAGCAGTTGTGCAAAATTTCATAATTTTCCGAGCCCTTGTTCATATTTAAATAAATTATCAAAAAGCTCCAAGTTTGGAAATTTCGAAACACGCGGTGACGTCACTGCATCTCTCAAGTTGGTCGTGTGACGGCCTTTAGCCCGTCTTGACTCGAGAGATGACGTCATACCATCTCTAAGCGATGAATTTCTGAGGCATAATGTTTTATTATTCAAAGCCGCATAACTTTTTAAATATTTATCCAATTGCGCTGAACTTTGTTTTGTGTGCTATATGTGAGTAATACTCCATAAAAATATCAAAAAAACGTGGTTAATGGAACCTCACTGAACGAGCCTATTGAATCTTATTTTAAAATTTAAACTTTCTATGACTGCCTAGGGATTATTATTTTGGATTTTTCATTGTCTTTCAAACTTGATAGTGTTTAATATTAAATTACCTTTGTCGATTGTTTAGCTATTTTGTTCATTTTGCTGATCTACTTGAGAATTTCTTTTCATTAACATAACACATTGAACTTTCAATTCACCTGCTCAATTCTCTAAGTTTATCTCACTTCGGTATGCACAAAGAAAGGGATAACAGATTAAAATAAATTACCAACATAATTTTTTATTTAAAATAAAAATCCTAACGGTTATAAGTCTTACCGTTAGATTATTTTATACAAAATCGTAGAAAGGAACGGGTTACATCGCTTTCTTTTAAAAATAAATGGGGCGTTCCCTCGCGGGAATTGTTATCGATATTTTAAGACCCCGATTCTGCCCAGACATTTTCCCGAAGTAGCTAGTAGATTCTCATAAAAATCACATCTTACATTGTATATGGTCGCCAGAAACACCAGATAATATTTTATGACGACTCTCCTTTTAGATTATGATATCGAAATTTATTGGGCGAAGGAACAATGCTGACCTCAATTCTCTTTTGTGACATTTTTAATACAATATGCTTACAATAAAACGTTTGTCAGTTGTATGCGTGACGTACCTATTACATTTTTCCACACACTAAACTTTAGCTAGGGGGAAAAAAGTCCAAAAAGAAAACTTTTAAATCTCGCCACACCATTCAGGAGATTCGGAAAAACCTATTCCCGTTGACAAATCCTTGTTTTCAAGTGTGCTAAAGTTTGCTTGTTGGGGGAAAAATTAATATCCCCTAGGAGCATATTTTATTCAGTTAGTCTATACCGCGCATTTTTTTTTGTGTCTGCTTATTTATTAAAAGTTTTATCTGTCTGAAAAGCTTTGATACCTATATTTTATTGAAGTGGTGTTTTATTCTGATGGGTGCAAATACCGGAATATCAAGGAAACTATTGGATAGCATGAGAGAGAGGATAGATACATAATGATTGATAGATGGAACAAATTCCAAATATAAATAGCTCGTTCATAATCTGAATGATATAAAGGTGTATCTTTAAGTTTATCATAAAAGTTTTCAATACTTGAAGGTTGGGTTTCATTTAATTTGTCTAAGGAATCTACATAAGAATAAGGATAAATTCCTTTTTTTCTAATTTCATTGAACTGATTTGAATCTTGAAAATATCTTCTGACTGTAGAAGGTTTGCGCCCTTAACAGTTATATGAATAGGAAGTGTTGTGGGTTTAGGGCAAAAAAATTCAAAGTCCCTTTTAAATTTTGAAAAATATCTTCTAATTTCTACACATTGATTGATATCAAAGCTATTACCAAGACTCCCTAATGAACTAGCGACAAAACGGAAAGAATCTAAAAATCTGAGCCTAATAAAAACATGTTTAACTCTCGTTTTATCAGCTTGTTCAATTTTATCAACCAATATTGACTTTGTGAATGAAATGTATTTTTCTTTAGTTTGTGCAAGAATATCAATTTTATAATTTTCACAACAAAGTTGTTTGATGAATAGATAGATATCATATCCTGCTAGATTGTGGAAAAACACAGCAATAAAACTGGGGACCTTGTAGTTTAAATTACAAATATTATGTGCTTCACCTCGGTATTTTCCGTTTCAATGATCATGATCCCTTACTTGTTCATCTAAAGGATTTAATTTTTCCTTACAAATACTGCAAATGATACTATTTTCAAATTGAAATTCTTCTTCATTTATTAGAGGAACCATCGATACTACATGTTTTAGATAATTATTGTAAATTCTATAAACATGAGCTTCAATTCGTTTGCGAAATTCATCAGCTGCATCAAGACCAAAATAATAATCCACTTCTGATAAAGAATCATCATATAAACATTTAATGAAATAAGCGAAAGAAAATGGTTCGGGTTTAAAAGTGTGTAATGTAAAAGAACTCTTATCATTGGTTGGTTCTTCATATTCATATTCATAATGGAACTTTAGGTTGATTTCAATTGCATTTATTAGAATCCGGCCGGGCTCCCTAGGCAATTTCATAACATTATGATATTCGGGCAAACGATTTTCTCATTTTGAATACATCTCATCAAAGTCCCCTTTATTTTACTCAAAAAGCAATTATTGACATATTACCTCTTGTTTACTAAACTTTCACATAATTCGAAGTGCACTCCCCTACTTCCATTCTATTTCGATCTCTAAAAGAAACTTCTTGGAATTCTTCCTCTCAATAATCTTCCTAAATCAAGTTACTTGTAACATTGGAAGCTGATGAAACTGAAACTGAATTTTTGTTAGTATTAAATGATAAATTTGCCATATTATATTTCAAAAATAAAAGTTAAATTCCATTATTTGAAGCAAAGAAGAGTAAACATCATCATTGATAGTTGAAAAACAAATATAAACATGTTTTCAAAAATTCCCGAGTCAATTTGTTGAGAGCCACGCTATTTAATTTTGTACACTCTGATGGCACGTTGACAAATAATCAACCCCGACAAAAAGCCAACCGAAAATTTATTATCCTTCTAGGGTGTAAATACCTCGAAAACCCACAACTAAGCATATCGTGTCACATTCGGGCCGATTCTTTATGCGAGGCCAAGACAAAGAGGCACATTAATCAAGACTTATGTCATAACCATGCCATGATACACTCATACATCTTTCTGGACCCCTTTTAAAATTATAACAAGAGGCCCACTTTCCCTATAGGGTGACAAACAAAATTATTCAAATTTTTTACCTATAGATATATCTAATCCATTAGAAATATTATGAGAACTTCAATTTGAGGTATTATTGGTGCCAATAAATAATATTTGGTTGACAGTTGAAATAACCATAACCGCAAACTAAGGCCATTAATTAAATCGGTCTTAATTTCCTTATCCCTATAGAACGATCTGCTGGGTATAGTCCAATAATTCACTTAGCAAACGTGGATCATCGGATAATTTTATTAAACTTTACTTCCAAAATTGTTGCATACACCTATAGCGTGAATTTACACCTAATCATAATCAAAATCTACTTAAATTGAAACCATATAGTCTGAAATTCCTAAGTAAAGAGCTTCTTGTGCTGGTCGAACTTTTTAGGATAAAGTTAAGTCCTCCAGTATAATCGAAAATAAAAGCGTAAAAATAGGAATTTGTCGCAGCGAAAAACGTCATAAAATAAAACGAATTTTGTCTCTAATCCTTTTTGCTTGAGCTTAAATCAGGCGATAGAGGGGCATTACTGTCGGCCCGTGAAACGTCCAATATCACGTCTGGTCAATCGGAATCTAAGTCGTTCTTCAGAATAATATTTTATGAAAAGGTTTTCTGTCGTTCATGAAATATTTCTCGAAATAGAGGAAAGTAAGTTGAGTTCAGATAGTTTTTATTGGGATTTGTCCGTTATAATATAACCCAAGATTGTAACAATACGCGACAAAACAATAAAAACGTTTTTGTAGCTGAGATGCATTATGATAAATTGCTCAGCCAGATGCTGGATTTTGGCAGGGCTATCTTCGAGCAAGTTTTTGCTAAGTTAACTACGACTTTTTAGGAAGTTTAGGGGTAAGCTTATGCCTGGCAACAGCAATATAATGTAATAATTATTTAACAATACCACCTTTGGTTTACAAAGTTTATACGCTTGTTCCAACATTGAATCTTAGCAGTCTTTTTTTCATAGGTTCTTTTGAGTCATGGTTTTCTTACGGGTGTCCGTTTTTCGAGGTCAATCTCGATAAGATACGAAATCGGTGTAATGACCCAGAAAAGTGGAACAATAATTTTAATTATTTAAATCTCCAATATTTGAAGTTCTGATTTAGTAGCAATAAATTGAAAATAATTGAATTGGTACAAATTGAGATATTGAAAATTTTCCAGTTCAAAATTGAAATAATAAATAATTGAAGAATTGTCAGTCTTATGATATGGCGAGGCAACTAAACCTGAAAACCAACCCATAAATTGGGCAAAGGAAAAATATTAAAAATCAAGGCTAAAGTAATTAAATTGAGCGGGCCAAGTGACAGATTCATAGTGTCACAACCCCTATACGTTTTGTCCTAGGACGTCACAACAGGAGCGTGACCTGGGGCGTAGGTGGGGTTCAGGTAGAGAGAAACTCGCTTAGTATAGGTACAATATGTATTAAATAATACCATGACGTTTCTTCCAGGGAGGAAGATACTACTTAGGCCACTCTGTATTATGTACACTCTTTCGTGTACTAAAATTTAGATAAATGGATAAAACTGTGGTGCGCCAGGAGATCTCGTCACGGGTTGGCTTTTGCCGTCTCTAGATGCGTTTTCTCGGTAGTGATAGTAAGTAGTCCAGGTAACATAACGTTTGTGCTTCCTTGGAGGTCAGGTTTTGGTTGGTCAAATCTGTCATAGTGTCTGGTTCCTTGCTTCCAATGATAGGTACTCGTATATCTTTGGATCAGAGATGCCCCTGCTCAATCCGAAGCAATCCCTGATCCAGGTTGTAGTGACGTCATTGGTTTCTTGCCCTCGTTTGTCCTCTGGTCAGATAATGCGATTTCGTGCGTATGAAACAAAAATAATGTGTGCTAAAAATGGAATCACTAAAAATGAAATAAAATTGCCCTTTTGTTCTTCATTCTTGATTTTAGATTAGTTATATTCCAGTGCTTAGTTAGAATACTTAATTCCTTATCTACAGCTGATGCTATCCGTTCCATATACGTTGAATCTTACATTCTACTTTCTCTGTTTCTTGACACTTCTTGAACCCCAGTATTGTTGGTTCCAAAGGCTCTTCAAGCCAGGGTACTCTGTATGTAAATGGGGTGGGCTTAGAACGTACACCATCGGAACAGGAGGAACACATCATCGCCATCTACTAGCGGGGCTTAGAACCTCAGTCCAGTACCGATAGGACAAGGCCACCTAATAGTGAAGTTTAGAACGTCATAAGTACGGTATCTAGTGACCAAGGCTGAAATCTGTAACAAAGTCAGAAACTGACAGGTCAGAGTGACAAAAAATAACCTCGTCAGGTGACAGAGGAGCCGAAATTTGCATTTTACCTTCAACTCTCTGGCAGAACCATTGGGCAGAA